TTTTACATTGCCAGTGGTAATAATGGTGCAGCCATTCTGGAAAATACTTTGGCAGTTCCTCAAAATGTTAAACACAAAATGATCCAGCAATTCCACTCCTAGGTATATGCCCAAGAGAACTGAAAACATAATAGTCTAACAAATACTTGAATACAAATGTTATTATTTGTAATAACCAAAAGCAGAAAGAAACCAAATGTTTATCAAGTGATGAATGCATAAACAAAATGTATATCCCTCCAAGAGAATTTTACTCAACCATAAAAAAAAAAAAATGAAAACCTGATACATGCTACAACATGGATAGATGAACCCTCAAAACATTATGCTAAATAAAAGCCAGACATCAAAAACCCACATATTCTATGACTGTATTTATATGAAATGTCCAGAACAGGCAAATTCACAGAGAGAGAACACAGAATAGTAGTTGCCAGGGGGTAGGTGGAGGATGAAAATGAGTGCTTAATAATGGATACAAAGTTTCTTCCCCTACTCCCACCCCTACCCCATAGATGTTTCAGAATTAGATAGTGGTTATGGTTGTACAACATTGCCAATACACTGGAATTCAATGAACTGTGCACTTCAAAAATGGTTAAGATGGAAAAACTTGTGTTATATGAATTTTACCTCAATTAAAAAAAAACTACCATATTAGCTCTTACCTAGTGAGTGACAAGGATGGGTCAACTGAGACTTTCATACACTGATGGTGAGGGATTTTAAAACTTCAGTAGTTTCTCATTCTTTTAAATATTCAGTCACCATATGATATAGTAATTACAAAAGAAATAAAAATATATGTCCAAAGAAAGACTTGTATACACATACTCATAGCAGCATTATTTGTAACAGCCAAAAACTAGAAACAACTCAAATATCAATCAATAGGTGAATGAATAAACAATGATATACTCATGCAACACAACAGTACTCAGCAATAAAAAAGAATGAACCACTGGTACACATAACATGAATGAATCACAAAAATATTACATTATGAAAAATAATTATGACTCAAAATGTACAAATTATATTATTCCATTTATATTAACCTGAAATAGAGGCAAAACCATTCTATGATAACAGAAATCATTTGAATGGTTACTTCTGCTTGGAGGAGAGAGAATCACCAGAAAGAAGAATGAAATATCCTTCTGATATGATAGAAATGTTTTATATTTTGATTGATATGGTAATTATATGGATATACATATTTGTTAGAATTCATCAATATGTATGGGTGTACTTTATTGAATATGGATTATTAAGAGTACTACAAATTTTAAAAATGTACACAGTGAGACTTCTAGGGTCTTATAGTAAACCCTCTTCAATGGGCATAGAACATTTTTGATGCTTAATCACTACATAAGAAAAGCAGGAAGTAGGATAGGTAGGTTGATTATTTTAAGGTCATAGCCAAATGTGTGTTTTGTACTACCCTAAGGGAATTTACAACTTAGTTCAGGATATAAGATATAGTCTCTCAAGTAGTCCATTATGCTTAATAGCTCGTATAGGTGCCACAACAGCCTCTGAATTATGTTGTCTCAGGGGGATGGATTCACTCCCAAATTCTGAATCCTCCTGTCTTGCTTATTCTCCATTTTTGATCCTTCATTTAGGTTGTGTTCAGGACTTGATAACGCTGAATTTACCCTGATTTTCCAGCCCAACTTTACCTGAGACATGGACTTTAGTGCCATAGCCACTAACCAATTCTATCCTTTAATATGTTTAATCTGTAAAGCTAAGAACTTAACTTTGGAAAAACCTTAAGCCCTTCAATTTACCAGGATAGTGAGACTAAAAAATGTGAAAATCAAATGATAATAGGAACAGAACATATTTCACAACATATTAATAGCTGGCAAATGAATCAAACAGGAATAATTATTCCTGTATGAAGGAATTATTCCTGTTTGAAGGCCTCAAATGAGATAAAGGCTGAATCTAGCTAGGCTTGTTATGGATAAGAAAGAATAATTGCTAGCCAGGTGGAGAAGCTTAAGCAAAAGAAAGAAAAAGTATTAAGTAATTTCGTAAGAATTTGTCTAAACTCTAGAATTTAAAAAATGTATACCTGGATATGCATAAGGTAATTCGAAAAAGCAAATTAGATTTTATTTGATAATCACAAAAAGTTGTGGAGTAGACTGAGCATTATTACCTTCATTTACAGATATTAAATAAAAGAAATTCTAGCATAGAAAGATTAATATTTGCTCAAGCTCATGAAACTAGTTAGTGCGAGACAAAGTAACAAACATAAGAAGCTATGTTTGCTCATTTCTGCTTACCACCAAAATTTCACAAAGCCCTGACCCTGGAACTAAATGCTGCTCTCTAGAAAGATGCTTTGAAGACAGAATAAAGTACACTCAGCTAGCCATCTCTCTTGTCTGAAACACTGCACTGCTTAAAAAATAAATGATCCTAGTCCTTGCCTTTTCTTACACATAAGATTAACGCCTGCCAAGGTTAGAGAAATGCCCCTGCAAACTATATCTAGATGTACTCTTGCATCCAAACTTAGATGTGATTTTGTACATACTAAACTCCACCACCTTTATATAAACAATGGGCTGAAACACTGCTTTGGAGCAGTCTGACAGAACCGTTCCAGGCCTCAGTGTATACTCCTCAGTCAGACTTCTGAATAAAACTTTAATTTTTTAAAAGCTTGACTTTTTTCCTTTAGTAAACATTAGGGATAGGGCCAGTAGTGAATGAAATTTATTTCTCTTGATTCACAGCCAAATGTTAATTTAATTAGACCATGCTTCTGATCAATGTTCTCCAATTTTGCTCAATGTAACTCTAATCAAGCTTCTCACCACAAATAATTCTGCCCCCACTCATTTGTTCTTGAATGTATACCCTTCATCTGAAGGACTCTTTTCAAGTATATTTTCAAGATCTACTTTAAGATAAACCTCATTCTCTTAACCAACACACCTGATTATTGACATGATAGGTAAGGCATTGACATGATAGGTAAGGCCTTACCTATCATACATACATGTATGGCCTTACTGGCCATACATGTATGTCCAAGCCCTCCTTCCTGTGGCTACTAAAAGATTTAGGTTCCAATAATATATTTTAAAACTAACTTTGGGTAATAGATTAGAAAATTATTAACTATGTAGGGAAGCAGATTTTCTGCTTATTCATACCTTGGAACTATCACCTACATTGCAGTCAAGGGTGAGTCTAACAGAATAGGGTGTAACTATGTTACTATCCTTCCACATCATAGTAAGTAAAAAAAGATAACTCATCCTTCATTAGAACATAAAATGGACTTCCATTTTTATTTTCAATAGAAAAACATGCTTAAATCTTTCCCATGTCCTTTAAACCTTCCAAAGATCCGATCTTCCCTTTCACTGACAAATTTTTCAAACTGTACACTCACTCAACTTGTCTCAATTTCCAGCCCACTGTTTTTATCTTTCTACTCAATTCTCATTGAAGAAACTAATGATATCTTAAACACCAAAACCAAAGATCTATTTTTCAAGTCTTAGCCTTTTTAAAACTCTTTTGGGGACAGAGAAGCTGGTGCAAAGTTTGCCAGATAGCAATTACTGAGCTCTTACTCTGTGCCAGGTGCAGTACTAATTAAGTTTTTTAAACTGTCCCATTTAATCCTCACAACAGCTCTGAGAAGTATTTATTACCTCCTTTTCACAGATTAAAATTTAGGCTCAAAATTACCCAAAGCCATATAGTTAGTGAAGCCCATATGATTCCAATGTTTGCAATTCTGTGACTTTTGACAATAAGATTGTTCCTGGTTCTCTTCCTAATTCTGGCATCTTCTCCATCTTTTACTATTTCATCATCCTCTGCCCATCACTTCTCTTATTTCACCTGCTCTTCTTGGCAATTTTGTTTCTTCCCATGACTTTAACTAAATTCTATATTAGTGTTTCTCAACGTTTCAAAACTTTTTAAAACAAAAATCTTGAGCTCTTTCTGTAGCTTGTATTTTGTAAATAGGTTTTTCCCCAAATACAATTTCTAATATTGAATGAGTTTGTTCAAACTATAGCTCCTCCCACTTCTCAATGTCTGTTAACCTCTTATGCATCACCCTAAGACTGAAATCCGTCTGTATGACTCTCAAATCAATCTGTACTTCTTTCCATGTCAGCTTCTCCCACACATCTCTCTCGAGTTATAAACTAACATAGTCCCATTATTGTCACCCCAGGCCTTTCAACATAAACTTGTCTAAAACAAAACTCTTATTTCCATTATCAAACCTGATCCATCTCGGTGTTCTCTCATTTTGGCTAACAGTGTCACAATCCACCTTTGTCTATGCTTTAAGGCACCAATTTGCAAAGTGGTCGTATTGACACGCTCTGACTCCCCTGAGATTCTAGGTAAATCAATCCTTATATGAGTGCCTGAGCCAGGAGTTAAGGAATGGAAAATGGTACAAAATATAATCCTCTTCCTCCTCAACAAATTTATAGGCAAAAATATACCGAAACCAATTTTTTTGTAGAGGCATTTTCTCATTTACAAAATTAAACTATTTCGCAGGCATTTTAATCTTTCTCACAATTCCATTATCATCGTTTTTACATGAGACTTTATGTTCCATTCTCTTTTATTATTGAAATAAACTTATACACAGTAAGACGAAAACAGGTCTAAATGCAATGAAGGTCAATAGAGCAGCGCACACAGCCAAGTACCAAAAGACACAAACCCACCTGAGCGCGTTTTGGGGCGGCCCTCCCGTCAGGGCCGGGGTCCCCACCTCCACCCCATGCAGCTCTCACCCCGGGAAGTCTCTCTGCGGCCTGTCCTCTGCCAGCTGAGGCGGCGAAAACTCCGCTCAGCGACCTGGAGCTCGCTGAGCATCAGCTGCCGCCACCGCCGGGCCCGGGCCCGGTCCGAGGCTGAGCTCCGGCTCGGCCGCAGCCCCCGCGCCTCCACCGAACCAGACGTCCAACCCAGGAAAATCAGCTTACCTGGTGGAGAAGACAACAGGAGGGCAGGCGGGCCGGGCAAACCCAGACGGCGGGAATGACCCTGGTAACCGACTGGGCTGGCCTCCGGCACTAACTGCATCCACAAGGTCTGGTCAACACCGAGCCACACAAACTCTCCGGGGCCGCGCGGGAACCTGCCGCGGCAGGCGGAGAGCTGGGGTCTGAGGCTGAGGGGATATCGCAGTGGGGGAGGGGAGAGGCTGGGCGGGGCAGAGGCGGAGACACGGCCCTTGGGGGCGGGGCGAAGCGCGAGAAGGCGGTGCGTGAGGGCGCTGGGCGCGCGACTCCGGGAGGCAGGCACGAGGGGGCGGGGCGCGCAGCGAGAGGCGGCAGGCACGTGGGGCGAGCGCGAGGCGGGGCCCGGCGCGCGGCGTGAGAGGGGGCGGGGCGCGCGTATCGGCGCCGCGGCCGCGTGACGCGTTTTCAAATCTTCAACCGCCGCAGCCCACTCGTTTGTGCTTTGCGCCTTCCTCCTCCGCGCCTTGGAGCCGGATCCGGTCCCGGAAACCCTGCCCGCAGACGCGGCAACTCTACTGCGTGGAGGCGGTGGCCGGCGGAAGGGGAGAGGCTACCGTCCTGTCAAGAGGCCCGGAGAAGCCGTGTTTTCGCGGCCGCCCGGCGCGACACCCTCTCCGGACCCAGCATGTAGGTGCCGGGCGGCTGCCATGAACCCCGGAGCCATGAGGATCCACAGCAAAGGACATTTCCAGGGTAAGAAGCCCCTCCTCCGCCCTCCAGTCCCTTTAATCCTTTCCTCCCCTCATGGTTCCACCATTGATTCTTGAGTTCTCCCACCTGGTCCGCTGCTTCTTTTCTTTTTTGACCGCCCTCCTGTGTGGTCTGAAGGGAGGTTCCATTCAGGCGTTTGCTTCAGAGAAGGAACGGAGCCTGGCCCGGTTCCTAGCGCGCTCTGCCGGTTCCAGCCGCCGTCCCAATTTGCCGATCCTGCGTTTGGTGCAAAACTAGCAAACAATGTGCGGATCCGGGAACTCGCCGGGGCTGCGACGCTGCTCCCTCTCTTCCCGGGCTCCCGCAGCTGCTGCGACTCCGCTCAGGCCCTTGGAAGCTGCGGATTCGGTCTCCAGTTTCAAGTCGGACGTGCTCGTGGCTTTCGCTTCATGATTAGATTGGATGATTGTGGGTGGTTTTAAAGTTTATTTTCCTTCACTCATAAAGTTGAGGGAAAGTATTTCTATTTCAAACACACTATTGCTAGTTTCAGCATTATAGGCAAACGGGGAAACAAACAAAAAAAGTGTCCACTTTCAATTACTTGATGTGGTAAAACATTCTAGCATATACGTGTTTCATATAGGTGTTTGTGTTCTTAACTACCAATTTAAGAACACATTGTGTTCTTAAAGTGAATTTTTAGAAGAGTTGCTTGGATCTCAGAACTGTTTTCAATGAAAATAATGGAATGAATGGTGATTTAGTACTTAATGGACCATTAAGTTCTTAATATAGAGACAAACTATATGAAATAGATTATTTAGTTTTTAATATGTAGACAAACTTTGTATGAAACTAAAGCTTGAGCAGTCAGGGACCCTTAAGTGCTAGATCATTTTGGTAACAGGTTTCTTAACGTTGCTAAATGTTGAGGATTTTAAGCACCAGTTTTGAGTGTTCAACAGAATGGCAGATAAACCCTTATGGAGTTTTTATCCTAAGGAAGAAAATCTCTCAAAAGGTTTTATATAGTTCCATGGCTTAATACATGAGACGTGAATAAATATGAATATTTCCTGCTGATTTGACTATTTTACAATATGGGATCTGTGAAGGTATATGGGGCATTTGGCCTTTATAGGTAATACTACATTTAAATGCTAATGACTTAAACTGGTGGGATTATAAGGATTTTTTCTGTGATATGATTATATAATTTTAAAACAGTGAAAATACCTGCTAAAAACATGATTTAATTCTAACCATTTGTAATAACAGGTGGAATCCAAGTCAAAAATGAAAAAAACAGACCATCTTTGAAATCTCTGAAAACTGACAACAGACCAGAAAAATCCAAATATAAGCCACTTTGGGGGAAAGTATTTTACCTTGACTTACCTTCTGTTAGCGTATCTGAAAAACTGCAAAAGGACATTAAGGATCTGGGAGGGGTAAGTGAAAACCATACATACACTGGCAAAAAAGGATAATTTTGTAACTGGTACTTTCTACTATATAGTCATTTAAATTTTTCATTTTAGAAAACAAAGCCATATATTAGTGCCTGGCTTAAAATTCTTATCAGCTGTTTATCATTAATTAAAAACTATTTGTTTTAATCTTTTGTAGCCTGACAACACTTTCAGGTTTCTCTGATTAGTAGTCTAGTATAAAGTTCCCTAAATATAAGAAATGAGACTCCCTTGTCCTAGTGGAACTATTGCCTGCTCAGTGTAATGTTGTGATGTCCTTTAGAGAACAAGAACTCCTGAGTATGAATATTGGGGAGCTACGTAAATTAGTCTGGACTAGTATAGCAGTTAAGAATGTTATTACAGAACATGGAAAAATCTATGCAAACCACAAAGTTAAAATTGCTCTTGAGTGATAGAAGATACCAAGTCTTTACAGAGTATAATGTACTCTTATGTGTCTTCGTTAGATTAAAAAATGAATCCTATGTACATTCTACCCTCAAGTTCTAATCTAGCTAAAGATGACATAGCTACAATTGATTTTCATACAACAGTGAATATCAAGAGGAGTGAGGTGTTACAGCTGAGAAATTGTGGAGGACATTGTACGGGCATAATTTGAACTCAGCTCTGAAGAATGATTAAGATATGTGTGTATGGAAATTCATTCAAAAGTTATTCCACCAGTGTCTCCATATGCCAGCACTATTTTAGAGGCTGGAGATATAAAAACAATATAAGGCTAGTCTTCTAGGTAGTCTCAGTTTAGTGGGAACATCAGACAACTAATATATAGTAGACTATTGTCAGTGCTTTAACAGAAATATGTAGAAATTACTGTTAGAACACAGGGGAATGATTGACTCTGCCACTAGGAATCATAACAGAGATAAAGTTTGAGTTAGATCTTGAAGGCCTAGTGGGAATATACCACCCAAAATGGATATACTAAATAGAGGAAAGAACATATTTAAAATATAGTCAATGTGGTTTGTTTGAGTGGCTAATGTTGCATGTGTCTTGAGCTTGGGCTTTAGATGGGGGAAATGGCAAGCAACAAAAGTATATTAGGGCTAGATTGTAAAGGGCATTCTATTCATTACTAAGGAGTTTTAACACTGTAAGAAATGGAAAACCAAAGGAAATGTGTGGTACTAGCATAAGAAAAGACACATAGACCGATAGAATGGAACAAAGAGTCCAGAAATAAACCTTTGCATATATGTTTTATTTATTTATTTTTAAGAGACAGGGTCTTGCTCTGTCACCCAGGCTGCAGTGCAGTGGCTCAATCATAGCTCACTGTAACCTCAAACTCTTGGTTCAAGCAATTCCGCCTAAACCTCTCACATAGTTAGGACTATAGGTGCACAATACCATGCCCAGTTAGTTTTTAAATTTTTTGTAGAGACAGGGTCTCTATCCTCCCGAAGTGCTGGGATTATAGGCATGAGGCACCCACACCCAGCCTGCATAAATGGTTAATTGATTTTCAACAAGGGTGCTGAGACCATTCAATGGGAAAGGGACAATCTTTTCAATAGCTAGTGCTAAGAAAACTGGATATTTACATGCAAAGGAGTGAAGTTGGACTCGGTATGCAAAAATTAATTCAAAATGGACCTAAGATTTAAATGTATGAGCTAGGCCAGGCACAGTGGCTCATGCCTATAATTCTAGTGCTTTGGGATGCCAAGGAGAATCATTTGAACCCAGGAGTTCAAGACCAGCCTGGGCAACATAGTGAGACCCTGTCTCTACAAAAAGTAATCTTAAAACTAGACCGGGCGCAGTGGCTCACGCCTGTAATCCTAGCACTCTGGGAGGCTGAGGCGGGCGGATTGCTCGAGGTCAGGAGTTCGAAACCAGCCTGAGCAAGAGCGAGAAGTCTTTTATAAATAGAAGGAATTAATTGGCAATAATATATATAGAAAAATTATCGGGGGTGGCAAATGCCTGTAGTCCCAGTACTTGGGAGGCTGAGGCAGAAGGATTGCTTGAGCCCAGGAGACTGAGGTTGCTGTGAGCTAGGTTAATGCCACGGCACTCACTCAAGCCTGGGCAACAAAGCAAGACTCTGTCTCAAAAAAAAAAAAAAACTATATAGGCCAGGTATGGGGGCTCCCACCTATAATCCTAACACTCCGGAAGGCTAAGGCAGGAGGATCACATGAGGTCAGGAGTTTGAGATCAGCCTAAACAAGAGCAAGACCTGTCTCTACCAAAAATAGAAAAAATTAGCCAGGTGAGGTAGAGTGCATCTGCAGTCTGAGCTACTTGGGAGGTTGAGGCAGGAGGATCGCTTGAGCCCCAGAAGTTTGAGCTTGCAGTGAGTTATGATCACGCCATTGCACTTTACCCAGGACAAAAGAGTGAGACTTGCCTCTAAAGAAAAATTATATAAATATAAGAGCTACAGTTCCTAGAGAAAATATAGGAGAAAATATGTATGACATTGTATTTGGCAATGATTTCTTGGATATGATTCCAAAATGAAAGACAATAAATGAAAAATACAAAATTGATATTTCATCAAAACTAAAAACTTTTGTGCCTCAAAGGACATTATTAAGAAAGTGAAAAGACAACCCACAGAATAGTAAGAAATATTTGCAGTTTATGTATCTGATAAAGCATTAATATCCAGAATACCTATATAAAGAATTTCAACTACCCAACAACAACAGACAACCCATTTAAAAAAATAGGTAAAAGACCTGAAGAGACATTTATTCAAAGAAGATACAGTAAGGACCAACAAGCACATGAAGAGATGCTCAACATCACTAATCATTAGGGAAATGTCAATCAAAACCACAATGAGTTACCACTTCAAACCCCTTAGGATGGCTACTATCAAAGAACCAGAAAATAACAAATGTTAACAAGGATATGGAGAAATGGAACTCTTGTGCACTGTGAGTAGGAGTGTAAAATGATGCAGCCACTATGCAAAATAGTATGGGTAGTTTCTGAAAAAATTAAAAATTGAATTAGCATATGATCCAGCAATTCCACTTCTGAGAATATATCTAAAAGAATTGAAAGCAGAGTCTTAAAAGGCATATTTGTAT